GCCCCTGGCCGGCCCAGGGGAGACCCCCAGCAGGTCTGGCGGTGGCGGGGAGGGCACGCACGGTGAATGACGAAAGCCTGGAGAGCACGGGAGAGCTCTACTGGGGGGGGACCAGCCGGGAAGCACAAGCACGGGGGACCCTTGGGCATCAGCAGACCTGCCCTGAGCAGGCCGACGGGAGCAGGGGCCCCCACCCCAGAAAGGCAGGTTGGAGCAGCCCCGAGCCATGGGCACCAGGGAAGGGTCCTGACGAGATTTTCGCTTTATGGAAAGAACTCAAGTGCCACTAGAGAGCGGGCTGGAGAGGCTGGGGCTCCGGTAGGGGCCCCAGTGCGGTCCAGGTGGAGGGGGGGGCACGCTGCTTGTTAGGGAGACCTGCCTACTCCCCGTCAGAGCTTCCATGCACCGCCTCCCAGGCCGGGAGCCCAGCGTTCCCCCAGCCCCCTGCAAGGCCTCCCCAGCCCCCATGTCTTCCAAAGCAGGGGACAGGCCACTCCCATGAACAACTTTCTCAGCCCCTGGGGCCTCAGAGAGCACCTGGCTTGCTGCAGGCCCTGTGTGGGGGGCCACTGAGACACCCCCCCACCCCATCCCGCTCACCCAGCCCCACCCTCTCACAGGCCTGTTCTCCACCATCATGCGGGACCTGGCCAACATCACTCACGACGGCCCCAAGTGGATCGTCCTGGACGGGGATATAGACCCCATGTGGATCGAGTCTCTCAACACCGTCATGGATGACAACAAGGTTGGAGGGGCTTCTGCATTCCAGAGCTCACCCCCAGAACCGCAGCAATGGGGGTGTCACGGGAAACGCCCCCCTCACCACCACCACACACGACAGACAGAAGCTGCCACAGACTGGGACTCGGAGCGGGGCGGGGGAGGGGCTGAAAGTCCCCGTCACAAGGTCACAAGACGCGCCCATCGCCATGCAGCCCCGCATGGGCCCGCCTCGGACGTTTAGGGGTGGCAACGGGGGCGGGGCGCAGCCATGGAAAGCATAGCGTAGGAAGGACGGCTCCTACCTTGGGGGGAAGAAACGGTGTCAGGATTCGTCTAGAAGCAGCTTGAGAAAATAATCCCCCGCTGGGTGAAGAACGAACTCCCGGATTCCCAGGGAAGGAGCGGGGTCCCGGTCTGAAAAAGCAAGTTTAATATCACAGCGAAGTGCGACCCGCCACCCGTATCTGCAAGCCTCTCGAGTCATCCCGTGTCGGGGGCTGGCGTTGAGGATGACTCGGAAATGCCGGGGCGGGGGGCTGGTGGGCGGGGGGCGTGCCTCCCCGGACTTCTGAGACGTGTCTGTGTGACACGCCATCGGGACGGTGGCCCGTTCCCCTCCCCGTCGCCAGGTGCTCACGCTGGCCAGCAACGAGCGCATCCCCCTGAACCGCACCATGAGGCTGGTGTTCGAGATCAGCCACCTGAGGACGGCCACCCCGGCCACCGTCTCCAGAGCCGGCATCCTCTACATCAACCCCGCGGACCTCGGATGGAACCCGTGAGTCGGCTTCGGTCCTCCTGCCCCCAGCTGTGGCCGGGAGAGCCGAGGCCGGTGGCGTTTCCGAGTGGCACGTGCGCAGTGCACTCCCTCGTGGGCGGTGCTGGTACAGGCGGGGCTGTCGGCGGGGCGAGGGGGTGGGTGCCGGGTCACGCTCGGATCCCCCCTTCGCCACTGCAACGGGAAGTGGGACCATCTGCCAGAATGGAGGCGACACGGCCAGGCCGGTGTTTGAGAGGCACCTGAGCACAGTGGCCCCTGCAGGGACGAGACCGGAGCTGGCCTGCCACCAGGGCCTGGGCCACCCGTGTGACCCGACACCACCGTGCCGTCTTCCCCGGCAGCTCTGGTCATCACACTTGGGTCGGCGTCCTGTGGCCACCGTAACGGAGGCCCACAAACTGGGTGGCTGCACACAGTGGAGGTTTATTCCCTCACAGTCCTGGAGGCCAGAAGGCCAAGGCCCAGGCCGCAGGAGGTCCGGTCCCTTCTGCAGGTCCGAGGGAGGATCAGTCCCTGGTCCCTCTCCCCAGTTCCGGTGGCCCCAGGCTGTCCTCGGTGCCCCCTGGGATGTGGGTGCCTCACTCTGATCTCTGCCTCTGTCACGTGGTCCCCCCTCTGTGCGTGTCTCTGTGTCCCAACTTCCCTCTTGTCATTGGGACCAGTCATTGGCTTAGGGCCACCCTAACCCAGGATGATGTCATCTCGAGGTCCATAACTTGATCCCATCTGCAAAGGCCCTTTTTCCAAATCTGGTCGCATTCACGGGACACGTCTTTTGAGGGGCCACCGTGTCGCCCACGCGGTTTTCAGGGTGGGCGGCAGCTAAGGCAAGAGAGTGGAAAAGAACTTAGACATGGGGCGGGAGCCGGGGACGACAGGAAGGAGGTGGGATCGTGGGGCGCTCAGGGGACACCCAGTAGGGTGGCAGGAGAGCCGGAGGTCAGCAGGTGAGCGGAGTCGGGGACCTTCAGCCCCTGCACTTCCTGGGGCTCTGTGCTGGAGAAGAGGCCCAGGGGCCCAGAGAGACGGAGCAGCCCTTGCGTCCCGGAGCGGGACAAGCAGCAGGGCTCCGGGGCTTGACAGGCCAGTGGCCTCTCAGGGCAGGGCAGGGCAGGGGCCCGCCAAGACTTGGGGCGGGAAAGCCACGCGTCCCGCGTGTGTCTCCGGCTGCGCATTTCAGGTCCAAGCCGGCACGTGTGATGGCATGCACTGCGTGACCCTGACCGAGGCAAGCGTAAGCTCGACATACACGCCTTCAAAACAGTCCGGGTACAGACTCGCAAATGGGTCTTCGTTCCGAAGACTGGCTGTACCCAGGATCCTTAACTGTGCCACGCACTGGGGCACCGTGTCGCTCGCAGACGTCGATTGTGTAAAGGTTCACTCTGTCGCCCTGGAGTGTTGGGGGTGCCAGGGAGCTAAGCTTTCTAGCCCTCAGCTCTCTGTCCCGACAGAGGTCAGTGAGGAACAGATCGCTCAGAACCGCTGGGACGCAGAGGAAGGCGTGCATGTCGGGCTGCGGGTGGCAGGCGGGCTGTGTTTGGTGGCCTGAGCTCCCTGCGTATGCTTTGAGCATCCTGGAAACGACATGCTCCCCGAGCCGAGGGGGAGCTGGATGCTACTTAGGTTTTTTGCGGGCTCTGTGGACCGGGCTGCCTTCTGTGAGCGTTACAAGTATCAGCCTGGACGGCCTCGGAAATGGGCGTGGCTGCCATCGGTCCCGTGTACGGATGAGGAGCCGGGGACCCAGACATGCAGAGAGCTTGTCTAAGGCCACTGCTGGCCCCAGTGAAACTGGTTCAAGCCCAGGCAGCTGGCTCTGGTGTCCACACAGTTGCCGTCATGGGGGCCACCTCTCTGCAGCCCGCTCCGGGGCTGGGGGGTGCCAGACGGTGCCGCACGGCTCCTCGGGGTTGCCTGTTGTATTGGTGTGCATTCTTCCTGAACGTGACAAATACAGCTCAAGCCAGTGGAAGCAAGGACAAAAAAAATCTGTTGGCTTGATCCACCAAGGCATGCTTCAGGCATGGCTGGATCCGGGAGTCCAGATGCTGTCCCAGCTCCTCCCCTCTCTCCCCTCCCCAGCTCTCCCGCCCTCGTGTTAGCTTCCCTTTGGGGTAGCAAGGGTGGCTCCCAGCTGTTCTGGGGTTATAGCGCCTCCGCAGCTGGAATATCAGGAAAGCGTACGCCCCAGCACCCCGCGCCTGCAGCAGACTCTGATGGTCTGCATCACCAGGCAGGCACAGCAGGACCACGGGGAGGCGCCGGCAGGCGGTCACCGGGCGGAGAGACGCCGGCGGCCCGCACGGCGGCCCCGTCCTCAGTCAGCGCCCGCCCGTCTCCGCAGGGTGGTGAGCAGCTGGCTGGAGCGGCGCAAGGTGCAGTCCGAGAAGGCGAACCTGATGATCCTGTTCGACAAGTACCTGCCCATGTGCCTGGACAAGCTGCGCTTCGGCTTCAAGAAGATCACGCCCGTGCCCGAGATCACCATCATCCACATGGTCCTGTACCTGCTCGAGTGCCTCCTCACGGAGAAGAACACGCCGGCCGACTCCCCCAAGGAGCTGTACGAGCTCTACTTCGTGTTCGCCTGCTTCTGGGCCTTCGGCGGGGCCATGTTCCAGGACCAGGTGGGCCCGGCCGCCCGAAAAGCCCCCCTCGCTCAGCCGCCCTTCTCACGGCTCGGCTCGGGCTTTCCCACAGCTCGTGGACTATCGCGTCGAGTTCAGCAAATGGTGGATCAATGAATTCAAGACGATTAAGTTCCCCTCGCAGGGGACCATCTTTGACTACTACCTGGACCCTGACACCAAGAAATTCCTGCCCTGGACGGACAAGGTGCCCTCCTTTGAGCTGGACCCCGACATCCCACTGCAGGTAACCGCCCAGGAGCAGGGACAACCCACGGCGACTTCGGAGCAGCACCTGGCGGCGTCCCAGGCCCCGCCGTGGACCGGGCGTGCAAACACAGCCGGTGTTCGGCTGTAGGGCCCCCTAAGTAAAACGGGGCTCACGAGCAATTCGGGTGTGCACGCGGTTGGCCGGAGGGGGACGCTGGAGTCGCGTCCGTCCCTCCGAGAGTCACGGCTCTGCCCGCCCCGCCCGTCCGCCCCACGCAGGCCTCGCTGGTGCACACCACAGAAACCATCCGCATCCGCTACTTCATGGACCTGCTCATGGCGAAGTCGTGGCCCGTGATGCTGGTGGGGAACGCGGGGACCGGCAAGTCGGTGCTGATGGGGGACAAGCTGGAGAGCCTGAACACCGACGACTACCTGGTGCAGGCCGTACCCTTCAACTTCTACACGACCTCGGCCATGCTGCAGGGTGGGCCGCGGTGCATGGGGCGCCGGGCGCGGGGCTGCAGGGTGAGGTCGAGGACCAGGGTGGGCCCTCGCAGCCCGGCCCGGACACACCAGCCCCATGGCTGCTCCCCCCGCAACCCCCGTCCCCACAGACCCGGGGACGTGCCCCTCCATTTCCACACCCACCCGTGCGCCGCTGGCGGCCAACGCGCTCCCTTCTCCCTCCAGGGGTCCTCGAGAAGCCGCTGGAGAAGAAATCGGGGAGGAACTACGGGCCGCCAGGCACCAAGAAGCTGATCTACTTCATCGACGACATGAACATGCCCGAGGTGGACAAGTACGGGACGGTGGCCCCCCACACCCTCATCCGGCAGCACATGGACCACAAGCACTGGTGAGCCTGCGCCTTGGGGAGTGGGCAGGACAGGGCCTCAGCTGGACGGGCTGGCCCACGTCGTCTCCCCTCCGGCACTCCACGAACCTGCCCTGGGCTGGGACCTGGGGACACGAGCAGTTCCGAGGAGGCAGGAGCAGTTACGGGGGGAGGGGAGATCGCTGAGGGAACTCCTGCTGCCCCTATGACCACGGGGCACCCAAGGGCCGGCTCACAGGCATTGCTGGGTGGGCGGCACCACAGCGCGAAGCTGGAGGCTGAGTCAGGACTGACCACGGGCTGGACCTTGGAGGGAGAGCATCCGGGGCAGCAGATGCCATGTGCAGAGACCCTGTGGCAGAGGGCGTGTGGCCTGTGGGGGAGCCAGAGGAGCTGGGGTGACTGGTGTGAGCGAGCCAGCCGAGAGGGCGTCGGGGCGGCCGCAGCCGGACCCAGGACCCACGGCCACCAGACAGAGCACAGACTTTGTCCGGTAACAGGGGGCCAAGGGTGGCAAGATCCGACGTTCCAAACCTGCGGGTTGGAAAGATCTGACGTTCAACGTGCTTAAAACACGGTGATGACCTGGCAAGTAGCACAGGTCAAATCTGGGGGTTCCGAGGCCAGAAGAACCCTAGAAACCCCGTCAGAAGCCAGTCGGTGGGTGAGCAGAGCCTGCCCCTCACCGCCGAGAACTAGAGGCACGCAGGGGTTAAGTGGCGGCTCGATGTCACAGCCCTAACAAGTGTCGGAGCTGGAGGGCAAGCCCACTGGAGGTCACGCCCACACTTGTCTGACTCCATTGCCCGCCTTCTTCCCCACCGCATGACGCCTACTCCCCGAGCTCATGTCACGGCTGTGGGAGCCCAGCGAGGACGGCCATGGTGTGCCGCAGGCCGTAGTCGGCGCGGGGATTAGGGGAGGCGCTCGGGGGTCTGCTCTGGGCAGGGCCTGAGGACCCGGGAGGGCTGTCGGGGGGACGGCCAGGGCCCAGACCAGCAGGAGGAGGAGAGGAACCGTGAGGGCTGCAGGACGATCCACCGTGAGCCCTCAGTCACACAGGCCCCTGGCCCCACGCCCTCGAAATGGGTTCGCCGGGTCCCAGGTCTTCACGGGGAGGCACTGAAGAACCCCTCGGGAACATCAGATGAGGGTGGCCCCACGGCTGGCAGGGCAGGGCAGATGTTTACTGGCTATTTCAGCACGTGGAGGAGACGGCGACCCGGGACCCCGCCTGCCACGGGGCCTGCAGATGGGGAAACTGCCGAGTTGACAGCAGAACGCGGGGGGCACGCCCCCGGGCCCGGGGGAGGCGCGGGCGGGAAGGGCGTCTCGAACACAGATTCCAAAAGCATAAGCCGAAGGCCACAACTCGATGGCTTCGATTCACATCAAAGTCAGGGAGCACTGTTGGTGAGAGACCCCGCCCCGCGAGGGATGGCCGGAACGCGGAGGCGACGGCGTGGGACGGGACGCTGGCGGGGCTCACGCCGACGGTGGGCGCACGTGAGGCGTTTCCGTCAATGGAAGGAACGGCGGGAACCCCCACCAGAAACACACGCACGACGGGGAGAACCCCAAAGCCGCGGGCATGCGCGAGGGCGTGCGAGCCCCACGCCCCCTTCGACCGCGGCCGAGCCCCCGGGAGCGTACCGCAGTGCGTCGGCCTCGAGGAGGCTATGGGGCCCGTTCGCTCACCACCGTCATCCCCGGTCCCAGGGCCACCGCGGGCAGTGGTGGCAAGCCGGTGCCGGACACGTGCCTTCTCCGTGCGTCTCGGTCTCGTGACGGCCCCCTGTGCCCATGGGACTCCTGAGGCAGCAGAGGCTGATGGACTCGCCCGGAGTCCTGAGGCTGCTAAGTGGACAGCTGGAGCATAGACCCAGCCCTGCGCCCCCAGCTACTGAGCCGCCGCCGCTTCAGAATTTTTCTTGAGAGCGTGAAGTGAAATTGGCGGTTTCACGTATAATAGATATTTATTGCGCTGGGTTTTTGTCTAGCCACGTTTGAGGCATTGCCGGGCCGGGGGGTTGGGGGTGGGGTAAGGGGGGGCGGAACACCAATGCTGGTCTCCCCATGCAGGTATGACCGGCAGAAGCTGACGCTGAAGGAGGTCCACAACTGCCAGTATGTGGCCTGCATGAACCCCACCTCGGGGTCCTTCACCATCGACCCCCGACTTCAGGTAACCTGTCATCAGGCACCCTTCTGCGGCTGCCGGGGGTTGGGGGCCATTTGGGCAAATGAGACTACAAGCCTGGATTTGGGGCGTCAGGGCTGCAGGCTGACACTCGGGAGAGCTCCCTAATCTTTCAGACGTGGGAGGAAGTTGCAGGGGACCCCAAAGGGCTGCCAGATCCAGCAAATGGAAATAGAGACACCAGTCAAGTCTGGATGTCGGGTGGACAACAAATATTTGTTCAGTATCAGCATGTCCCACACAATGCCTGGGTCGGGCAGGCTGTCCCGGAGTGTCCGCAGCCCTGAGCAGGCAGAAGCTCACCCGCAGACGATCGAGACGGGCGGCCGCCTGGGCCCAGAGACACCCTTTCGCCTCCCACAAAATTTTTCTTGAGAGCTTAAAGTACATTTGGCTGTTTCAGATAGAGTCACTATTTCATGGGATTGTACCTCATACAAGGCACAAGGACAAAAAGTGGCCGTCTTGGCCGTGCTCACAGACATCAGGGAGTGGGGACAGAGTCTGCACCCAGGATGGCGGCCCGGCCACAGGCGGGTCCCCAGGAGGGGCCTGACGGGGCTTCGCGGTCACTCCGCACAGCGCCACTTCTGCGTGTTTGCCGTGAGTTTCCCGGGCCAGGAGGCCCTCACGACCATCTACAGCACCATCCTGTCTCAGCACCTGGCCTATCGCTCCGCCCCCACGGTGGTTCAGAAGATGAGCAACCAGCTGGTGGCCTCGGCCCTGGGTAAGCCGGCCGGCCTCCTCCCCCTCATGTCCGTAAAATCTACTGCTCTGCGGAGCCGACGGCTTCTTCCTCTTCTCCCCTGGTAAATATTTTATTTATACTTTCCAATCAATATTTTTTAAACGATGGTATGTTTCGACAGGAGATGTGAAGTCCAGTTGCTGCAGGGGGAGGAGCGGATAAGAAATTGAGTGTGTAGGAATGGTTTACCCATCACGAGGACAGCAGTTTGCTCACTTAAATTGTCACCAGTTCATAGCCCGTTTGCTTCAGAAACTCTCTCTTAAGCTTTGCACTTCCCGAGGCCATTAAGGGTGCATAAGAATCGGTGTTTCTCTTTCTTGTGACAGCCCTGCACCAGAAAGTCACAGCCACGTTTCTCCCCACGGCCATTAAGTTTCATTACATCTTCAACCTCAGGGACCTGTCCAACATTTTCCAGGTACTGCTCTTTTAGCTCTATGTCTGGCCACCTTGTGGCCAGTTCCTTGACCCATAAGCACTCTCCTCTTCTGCTGCTCTCAGGAGAGAAAACAAAGTGACCTATGTGCTGATGATGGTGATGGTGATGATGGTGTTGGTGGTGATGATGGTGGTGATGATGATAGTGATGGTGATGTTGATCGTGATGACAGTTTTGATGGTGATGGTGATGATGGTGTTGGTGGTGATGATGGTGGTGATGATGATAGTGATGGTGATGTTGATCGTGATGACAGTTTTGATGGTGATGGTGATGATGGTGTTGGTGGTGATGATGGTGGTGATGATGATAGTGATGGTGATGTTGATCGTGATGACAGTTTTGATGGTGATGGTGATGATGGTGTTGGTGGTGATGATGGTGGTGATGATGATAGTGATGGTGATGTTGATCGTGATGACAGTTTTGATGGTGATGGTGATGATGGTGTTGGTGGTGATGATGGTGGTGATGATGATAGTGATGGTGATGTTGATCGTGATGACAGTTTTGATGGTGATGGTGATGATGGTGTTGGTGGTGATGATGGTGGTGATGATGATAGTGATGGTGATGTTGATCGTGATGACAGTTTTGATGGTGATGGTGATGATGGTGTTGGTGGTGATGATGGTGGTGATGATGATAGTGATGGTGATGATGATCGTGATGACAGTTTTGATGGTGATGTGATGATGGTGATGGGATGATGATGATAGTAATGGTGATGATGATGATGTCGGTTTTGATGGTGATGGTGATGGTGGTGGTGATGATGGTGATGGTGATG